CTCATGCTGCCTTGCTCCCTGCCTCGACCACTGCCGCCTTTTTCCCGTGCACTTTCGATGCCCAAACTTTTGGAAACTGAGCTTCTCCTTGGATTGGACGCTAATCCTTCGATGAAATGAATTGGCTAGCCTAGAATATTCTCGGTTAAAGGCCCGCTCTGAAGCATGCCAAACAGCACAACGGAGCCAAGTTAAATGCTACATTGTCCCCCACATTAGAAAAAGTGCTCTCTTGCATCATCCTTAAGAGCGCTCGGTTTGTTATACACTGGAAAAAAGAGCAACAAGAGATTATATGGACTCATGTAACATCGACGGGCATTTTGCATGCACGCAGGGTTTTCGATCATATGTTTCACCACATAGGAAGAGTCCATGTCGTCAACGTAAAGGATCGTTCCATGGAGATTTCCTGCGTCATCCTTCGCCTTCAAAACGATGACGCATCGTCCTTCGGACTTCTGGAGCAGCTCCGCAACTGTGATTTGATTTCCAAGGGCTGTTACACGGCACTTCAGCACAGCTTCAAAAGCGCAGTCATAAAGTCGAAGGCTCAAGGGATCCACGATTGTCCCGGAGGCATCTCTTTTCCAGGAACAAATGAGGTTGTCACAGCAGATCCTCGTGTCCTCGTACTTTTCCCGGTCCAAGAGTACAAACGCCTCCAGCACAGCAAGGAAGAGAAACAAGCAATCACAAGCGAACAAAAGAACAGAGAAGAGTCGAATACCTCGTAACTCTCGCGGAACTTGGTGAGCAGCTTGGACAAATGATCTCGTACTCCCATGACTTGTCTGTCCACAAGCATAAGCTGCTCCTGTCCCAGTTTGCTCTCCTCGAGGAGATCCATGACGGCTTTCAGAGCTTCCATCGTTCTTGCATCTTTCCGCGCGGCCAAGGAGTGCCTCGTCTGAGCAACAGCTCCCACATCCATGCTTAACCTCGACCGGATCGCTTGCCGGAGCTTTAGCAAGAGCCTCCGCGAGCGCCATAACGTAGACGCCCGAATCCTGATTTCTAAGGGACACGAAAAACTCGAGTAGCCGGCGTCGCTGGCATTGCTGGCCCGGCGTATGGTTGATGCCAAAGAGGCGTGCAGTTGGACTGTAAGAATTTGATTAACTTTTGCCTCTAAATGCGTAAAGTTTCCTTTAATTTGGAGAGCATACCCTTAGCAAAAGCGAAACGCAAACTCTTCTTCAGGTCCCTTTGTAGTTTCATGTCTAGTTTGTTATCAAACGTTTTCTCCATCTTTGCTTCTAAGTCCGCCACAACGTTGTTCATATCATGCTTAAGTTCGTCAAGCTTTGCATCTAAGACGTCTTGACATCTCAAACTATATTCATCAATGCTGCTTTCCTTGTCTCCACTAGAAAGCAAGCATGGCATTGTAAATTTTGCAAACTCGTCCCTCAACTTTTAGATTGCCGCTTGAACTGATCGCGCTTCCTTAGCAGAAACTCTTGCCGCATCCTTAACAGTACTTATGTATTTAGAGGGGATATATGTGATTATATATTTCACTATGACGAGTCCTTGATGAACATAGAAGAGCTGCCTCAAACCGATGATATAATGTTCTCTGGACAGGCATGTCATTTGAGTTCCACGGACTGCTACCGTTGTACAACCGAAGGCTCAGAGGATCCAGCTGAAGAAGGTCAATTGTCCCGGACTCCCGGACGACGCATTCGTTTCTGCAGAAGGCGGACGACGCATCCCCTTCCCAGAGGTTGTCACAGCAGATCCTCGCGTCCTCGTACTTTTCCCGGTCCAAGAGCACAAACGCCTCAATCAAAGAAAGGAAGACCTTCACTTGAGGCGTTCGTTGTATACGCTGCCACGAATTAGAGAGATGAGCAGCTGAGAAGAGGAGAAAAGAGGGAGTACCGCAAAGTTCATGAGCATGGTGCACAGCTTGGATGACAAGTGATCTCATAATGTCTTACAAGGATAAGCTTCTCCTGTCCCAATTTGCCACCCTCGAAGAAACTTTCAAAGTGCCCATAGTACTAGATCCACGATCCCTCGCCTCGTCTGGGCAATAGCTTCCACAGCCATGCTCCTCACAACCTGGGCCAGATCGCTTGCCGGAGCTGCAAGCGCTAGAACGTACGCTCGTTGCTGATTTGCGAGGGACTCGATAAACTCGAGTCTCCATGAGGGGTTCGGCCGATTGAGATTGACCGGGTGGTGCTTCTTAACGAGCTGTCGAAGTGGAAAAATCTCCCTTGGCGATAAACTAGCAAGCTCCAGGCATCGCTAGTGCTGCTTATTGCGAAGAGTACCATTTGGTACTGCGCTAGATCGGCTAGAGCTTCTTCTAGCTTACCAGCAAGATATCGGTCCGCAACACAGCACGGCTCCATGATAGATCCATGCAAAATCCAGGAACCTAACGTTTGGATCTTTATAGAGGTAACTTAATTTGTAATTTTTCCTTTGAACTTCTACTGGACACGACACCCTCCTTGGTTTCCTATTGCTCGCAGTCGCGAAATGCCACGAGCAAGGCGCTGTCACAGAAAACGCTGTTTAAAAACCAAGAGCATCAAAGAGAAGAGATTTTTTACAGTCTGTGTGTTGGTGAGACGCAATAGCTCCAGTTTCTCGGACGATCTGATGCTCACAAGATTGGTTACCTGACAAGAAAAGAGAAAAATAAGTTTCCTTTCGTGGTGCCGTAGAGCACGACACACGAACCCAAAAACTGAAGCGTTCTACGTCCGATATATCAGGCATCCCTTCCGCACGTAGCAGTAGCTCTGCGACTCGGGAGTGATGATCTACAAGGAAAAGATTAGAATGTGTTCTCTGGATTTCGAAACTGGAGGAAATCAACCCAGTACCTGCCGTTTGGATGTGAGAAATCAAAGAAGTCGCCATCTCTCGAGCGGTTTTTGCCATTTCAACGAGCTGAAACCAAGTAAAATCACGGAAAGTAAGAGAAAGGTTAAACAAAAGTCGAGCTCACCTCTTCGTTTTCTTCGGAGCCATTTGGAGGCAGTTTGTCTTGAAAGCTTTGGACTTGGCCCACTCGGTAACTGCAAAAATTACAAAACAAAGAACCAGCTTCATTCTAGCAATGAAATAAAGAACTTGCCCGTCTTGTTCCCAGCTTTTAGTTATATGGCATCGACGCCTTCCTTCCACCTGTGACAAAACTGCACGCTTGAAAAGATAGAACCATGATGATATCACCTGTAGGAGAAATCTTCCATCTGGCAGCGGGTCACACCTACATTTGTTTGATATTTAGAACTACGTAAGAAACTATAGATACTAACTCGCATATTTCGACCTCGCAACAAACATCTGCTATAGTTCCGGTTTGTGGATCTACTCCCACCTGTACACTCAAGTCAAGTATAAGAAGAGAAAAAACTAGCTCTTACCATTCCCATTCGATGATTTCCTTCCATAATTCTTCGTACCTGACAGTTAAAAGCATCAGTGACAGGAAAAGCCACCGCGAATCATAAGTGGAACTACCATCAATCTGTACCGCGGTTCGAAAATGTTGAGGCACATCTTTTCAAAAGGAACAACGAAGTCCATCACGAACAATGGCAAGATCTCGTTACCAGCAAGAGTCATGCCATCGACTTCAGCTTTTCGGTCTTGGTACTCCTCGGCAAAATTCCGCTGAATGACATTGTTCAAGGTGACACTAACAGGGTACGTTTTAGGATTCACGAAGAGAACGGTACGACACATAGGACACTTGTTGCCTTCATGGAAAGAAAAAAGAAAAGTGTCACAAAGGCATGAAGATCTTACAAGTCAGCTTTACTTACCATGGTCCAGTGCTTGTAGCAGGCAAGCCCGACAAAATGAATGGCCGCAAGGGGTAGTGACAGGGTTGTAGAGTAGTTTCAGACACAAAGTACAATCAAAATCGTCGCACCGTTGCAGCTTCAATCTTTTTGGAGCACCAGATTCAGCACTCGTGCCAGTGCCTTCCTCGCAGACCAATCGGCTCAGAGCCATCAACAGAGGCACACTGTTTTACAGATATGGTGTTAGTCGAAGTGATTCCGATAGAGCTTACTTTTCTCACTTTTTTGGATCCAGCTTAAGGCCCGAAAGAAAAGTTGCTCTTGCTTCTTCATATTGCTCCAACTGCAAAGCATGAATAAGTACAGCCATTACCAAGAGATAGAAGACGGGCGTACCAGAAGCAATGCCGATCCTTTACGTAGATAAGACTTTGGCCAGTCGCGGGAGAGTTTCATAAGTTTTTCCGCGTCTTTTAGTGCCAGCTTTAGTCCACAAACGTCGTCAAAGCAAAGATCACAATAGCAACAGAGTCTTACTTGAGCAAGCTCCATGGGATCTCTCCCATACAGTGCATTCTCTTCAGAGACAGAAGCAGGAACTCTTCTCAGATACTCGTTAAACCTGAGAGCATATCAGCCAAACGCATGTAGAGAACAAAAAAAAAAAGAAAGAAAATGCAGGAATCCACTTACTTACAGTAAGCAGCACACCGATTCGAGAGAAGTATCCCAGAGTGCGGCACACCTTTTTGGTAGACCTTGGAGTAAGCGCATATTGCCTGCGAACGAGAGAAACAACATTCTAAGCACCAAAGAAATGAAGAACAAAAATTGCACCTCATTGTACTTCCCCCGCCTGTAAAGATCGTTTCCTTTGTGCACATACTCCGCTATTTCACCCTTATCATCCTAAACGATCGAAATTCAAAGAAGCCCAAATGAGAAATCCACGCCAGAGATCTAAACTTCGGCGTTCTAGTTCTAGAAGACGAGTGCTATTCAATTGAAATCACTTACGCTACTGGGTACTTCGTCGACGTCTTCGCTGCTGGAGCTAGCCGCCATCGCCAGAAAACCTCGAACTTGACAGTAGACGCCATTTATAACACCGGGATTTACGTCTGGTTAGTCTTATGGCTTGTGATGGTGCCACGCGATTACTCTGCACACCGCTCGATTAGGTTGTGGCCTTGCGGCGACGCAAGCGAATATGCCTTCATCGAACCGCGAAAAAGAATAGTTTTGTCTTTGGCATTCTAGAATGTAGCTCTCCCTCTTTGAGCAGCGAAGGCTCTAGAGACCGTTTGAGCATTTGAGTTCATCAAGATAAATTCCTTTAGCAATATAAACGCTCTCGTAAGCTTTGAATTTACGAAGATAAAAAAAGAAAAAAAAAAAGACCATACCATTTCCAGAGCTGTCACGCGAGTGAGTATGAAGTCTGCTTGATTCTTTCTACAATCACAGATTTTGATCGGCATGAGTAGCCAGTGGAAATTGAAATACCTGGATTCCTGAGTCGAATTCTGGGAACCAATGCCGATAAACATCATACTACGATCCATGGTGTTTCGGCAAGAGAAGTCCTCGCCGTCATGGACATAAACATTCTGCTCTTCCAAAATGATACCTTTTTCTGAATTATTCGTCGACTACACTGCTTACCACATCATGCCGCAGAAAAAGCGGAAGAAGCATGTTTTTCAACGAGGCATTGCTGTTTTCCTCCAAATCGTGATGACCAACAATCACACGCCTGCAAGAAAAAGAAAAATCAAAAATAAAAAAGTGAAGGCCTGCCTGGAGAACTGAAAGTGAGCCTTACCAGCTAGCCGAGCTACTTGCAAGGACGTGTTCTAGCCAATTGAGCTGATCGAAAGTCTCCCCGGCCTTCATTAGCGAAGAAAAAGAAAAGTCAATGCCAAAAGAGAGCAACAAACATACAACCAATCCGTTGGAGTCCAGGAAAAACACATCCATGAATCGTTGACGAAGCAAGAAATATCTGCGGAAGCAACGCAGAGTAAATCCAGTTCCGGGAAAACAAAAACTAACTGGAAAGCATGCTTACCTTTCCGGCTTTTTAGAATCATACTACAAAAAATAAAAGCCATCGTCATAAAAAGGAGACACAAGAAACAGCTTCTGCGCATACCTTCAATCCAGCCGAAAAGCTTCGAATCCGGCTACTATTCATGATAAACCCGGCACCAAATCTTTTAGATGCCTTTTCTATCTGCACACCAAGAATTCCACCCACAATGAACGAGTGAACACCCAAAGCTAGAGCCTAGAATCAAACTCTATCACACACCCCAGGCTTCTGGAGCTCCGGAGCAATCAAAAAGTAATCTTCCATGGTGCTGGACGAGGGGCGCTTCTTACAGTAGGATATGAAGCCAAGCACCGAGGCCGCCAGCATCACAATGCAAACCTGCACAATCACCACACCCATGACCTGGTCAATCGAATGGTAGCGCCACAAGTGATCAGCTGGTCTGCAACGCAAAGAGATATTAAAATACCCTTCGAGAAATCATCGATCGGATCAGAGCTTCCAAATGCCAGCGCGGCATTACAAAAGGATTTCTTCCTTGTCCATCTCGAGACCGGAAGAAAAGTGTGCGTACCTTGCTGTCTCCTACGGCGATAAGAACGCATCTCCAAGCCCTTAGGGTTTTCACGCGAATTTTGAATTTAGGCGCGAAATCTCTTTGAGGATACACTAAAAAAACACAAGGCACAGAGTGAAAAAACCTGTGATAGCTAGCGCTCGATTTTCTTCGTTTCTTCTTCGATTTTTTCCGTTTTTTTTTTTGGCCTGGTGATCAAATCCCTCCTGCGGAGGCTAGATTCGTGTTACTGTTGTTGTTGTTGGTGGTGTTGCTATTGTTGTTATTGTTGTTGTTGCCATTGCTATTGTTGTTGTTGTTATTGGCTCCCGCAGGCCTGTCCGTCTCATTGTTGGTGTAGAACGCCACCTCCGACGGCGACAGGATCCGGATGCCTCGAACAGAGCTCACGAATTCCCTAGAACCACAGAATCAAACGAGTCAAATCCACGAAGAAAAGAGCCAACTGATCAAGAACTCGGGAAGCAAGGAAAGAAACCAAACAAGTTCTTGGAAACTTACTCCCATGGATCGTCTCCGACCAGCAAGATGTCCCCTTCGTGATCGATGAACACGAGCTGCCACCCTGACTTCTGATCCAGCTGACCGTCCAAGTTAAACATCCGAGCCAGCTCCCACCGCAGCTCCGTGTAGTTGCTGAATCTCGTCACATCCACAGCTCTCCCAATAGATCCGAGCTTGTATACCTGAAAGATCATCGCGACCCAATCCATCGATCACTCAAGAACAGTGAATTCTCGATCACACTTACCTTCGTATACGTTCTCGTTGGTGGCTGCTTGTTAGAAGCGTTGATGTTATGTTGGTGATGGTGGTGATTGCTCCTCTGGGCCAGAGTGGTGGTGTTGTCCTCGGGGCTTCCGTTTTGCATGGTGGTGTTGGACGAGGACGCCGCCGCCGCGTGGTTGTGGACGCTCGTCACGGAGCTCGCGGCCATCTCCGAGGAGCAGTAGGAGCTCCCGCCGTTTGCGAGATGGTTGTGGATCTGCCTCGACGACGCCGCGTTTCCCGTGTTTGATTGCATCATCTTGTTCCCGTTTCCAGAGTTTCTTTGCAGCTGCTGCTGCTGTTGCAAGTTGCCACCAATCTGGGAGGACGAAACCATGGGCGAGAATCCATTGCCGTTGCTTGTCAAGCCGCTGGCTGCGTTGTTACAGCTGCCGTTGGCGTTGAAGATCATCTCCGGCGATGGAGTGATCAAGTCCCCTCGATACGACGACGAGCTTTGCTGCTGCTGGAGTGGGATGCTCGGAAGGACTTGGAGCTGATGGTGGTCGAGGAAATCCGTGTTACCAAACGAGCTCAAGCTGGGCGGTAGCGGCGGGATGGCGGAGAAGGACGACATCACGTCCGAGGGTATCAAAGGTGGCAGCGGCGGAACCATGTTGTTGGTGGCGTCCTTGTTGATCGTCGAGAACCACGAGCACGGATCTCGTCCCAGCAATCCCGGAGCCGGGGGAAGAACTGACTGCTGCTGCTGCTGGTGGATCATCTGGTTTTGTTGGTGGTGGATCACCGGAGGAGCTTGCGGAAGAACAGGCGCTTGCTGCAAAATACCGGAGTGATTCATGGCTGGAGGCTGCTGCTGCTGCTGCTGGAGGATGTGAGAGTTGATCAAATCGCCGCCACCACTGTTAGCGTTACTGTTGATCTGCATAACTTTGGAGGACGATGGCTGCTGTTGCTGATGGACGAGAGGAACCACCGGGAGATTTTGGAGCATCGGGCTATACATGTCGAGCTCCCGCATGGTGGGACGCATTGGAGACTGAGGAAGCGGCGGTAGCGGGAGGTGGTGGTGGTGGTGATGGTGTCCAAGGTGGTGCTGGTGATGGTGTTGATCCAAGTTGCTAGTGGTGCCGCTATTGTTGTTGTTGTTGTTGTTCGTCGTGGAGGACGAAGCGTCAAGAACATGAGAAGCGGGATACTTGAAACCGCCACCGGCACCGGCACCGCCGCTACCTCCGCCCAGCGCTGCCGAATTGGACACTACTCCGCCACCACCGCCACCATTGCCAACGCTGTGAATGCTGCGAATCTCCTGTAATGCCGCGGCAGCCATCACTCTCTGCTGGAAGTTGAGTTGATTACCAGCGCCGCCAGCGCCGCCAGCCCCGCCCCCGCCGCTAGCTCCACCACCAGCAGAGCCAAAGCCAGTGTTGGTCGGACCGCTGGAGTTCGCGACTACCAGATTGCCGCTCGACGCGCCGCCCTGAATCCTCATCCAGTGCTCCAGGTTGGCGGCGTAGGCGGCGGAGGGAGTGGCGGAGGCAGTGGTGGCGCCGCTGGACGTGGTGACGACTGCCCCGTTGCTAAGAACGCCGCTGTCCATCGCGTGATCCCACGAAGCCCTGGCCATTTTGGACGGCTTGTCGAGGAGCTGCTGCTGCTCGTCGGCCGGGGAGTAGTCATCCTTGCTACGCTTACTGCCCGCGTAAGCCATATCGATCGATGCTATATCCTCCGAGAGTGATCGAGCTAGCTTCCCAGAGCGCTGTCTCTAGAGCTTACGATCATCCCCCAAGAACAAGAGGACGAGAGCCTAGCGGCATTTTCTTCCTCCTCCTCCCCTCTTTTGTTCCCTGGCACATTACGAGCGGTGGATGTGATGGACTCGCTCCTCCATCCCAGCCCTGGATCAATCCTGTGGAGCAAACACGCTCCACAGTGGACTAGGCTATGCCTAGATCTTTCCTTTCCTCTTTGTTCTTTCCTCTTCTCTTTTCACTCGCCCAGCATTAAATCCGGCTTGTGGGTCGGAGCAGCAGCATCGTAGCAATCAATCCAGCTGCAACCCATTGTCCGCGAGCTCGTAATTCCCCTGTCTGGCTGCTGCCCAGAGCAATCGGTCCTCACCCAACAGCGAAATCTTACCAGCCAAAAACGAGAAAGAAAGGAACAAGCTAACTTACGGGGAAGAGAAGAGCTTTTCCTTGGATCTATCCCCTCTAATCCGTCCTTTAGCTCGCTCTCTCCTTTTTGTTTCCTCCCGAGATCACAAAAAGCGAAGAAAAAGAGGGAGAGAGAGAGAGGGGAAAGCCAAAGAATGAAGTGAATCGACACCCACCGGTGGAGTAAAACGTCGCGAGCAAAGAAACAACGAGCACAGGATCCCGATCATCGGGCTGACAACACTCGACCGCTGCTACAAATCTTCGACTCCGTCCACTGCCGCCGCCGCTGCTGCTGCTGCTGCTACTGCTGCGTCTCTTCTTCCTCCCAGCGCCACCGAGAGACCTCTTCCAACCTCCGAGAGAACGAAACGAGCTCGCGGAAAAGGTCTTAACTTCTTCGCTCGCGAGACCCTCTCCTTCCCCACAGCGATCTATCAATTTTGGTCCTAGCTAGCTACTTCTTCCTTCACCACACTCGCTTCCATTCAATGCTCGCTTCGTCGTCTTCGTCTGGAAATGGATCCACCATAACCATAGCAAAAGCAGGTTCACTGCATTTTTCTCCTCCTTTATGTGGTACATTAAAAAATACAGAAGAAAAAAAAGAAATTCCTTTTTTTCTACCTAGTCCAACCACTTTTAGAGTCCTGGTAAGTATAGCCAAGCACAAGGCCTTCTCACAGTCTCTTTCAGCACAAAGCTCCCCCCAGAAAAGAAGGACGCCAGCCATTTTAGCATTGATATTCGATTTTCATACGAAAAAACACTAGCTTCTGCGTAAATTGGCCTGTGTAAGATAAGATCTCTCTCGTCCCAGATCAGATCGCCCAGCAAGCAGCAGCATCATAATCCTCTCTTCGCTTGTCCCCGCTTGTCTCTCCCTGGATTGTTTTAGTTTATCCAAAAACGAACAGACACAACACACCTCCTCACTGTGGGCGTACTGAGATGCCACAGTGGTAGTGCTACGATTGAGCTTTAGAACAGAATAGGGCAGAGCTAGAACGCAGCAGTGGTGCTCTCAGCATCAGTGCCAGCGACCGGCGGCAAACTGTGACGAACTGGAGCAGCAGCGGCAGTGCTGCCAACAAAGATTAGTTAAGCTTAAGCTAGAGAGAGATCAGACTAGCTAAACAGACAAGATGGACTTTTTTCCTCTCTGATCAGCTGTTAAGTACGTGACGGACCACACTTTTGCCGCATACGTACCGCTACGCGCGCATATACTCCGAGCTGGTGCGTATGAATATGCTATCTTACCCAGTGCATGTCATGTAAGAGGTTTGCTCCATCAATCATCTGTTGTTCCCCTGCTGCTGCAGCTGCCCCTGCACCTGCAACACAGCTGCAACTGCTCCTGCTCCTGCATCTGCTGCTGCTGCTGCTCTTGCTGCTCCAAATCTGATTTTTTCCCCTCTCACTGCCAAACCCTTCTTTTTTTCACCATCTTTTACCTAGGCTAGAGTCACCTCCAACCAAACTCTGGTGTCTGCTTGTGTGTGTTTTGAGTGTGGACTCTTCTTCTTCAAGTGTATTTTATCCATCCTTTTCCTTCTTTTCTGCTTTTTGGGCTTCTGCTGCTTCTGCTGCTGCTTGCTACCATGCTGCTTAGAGTTCATCCATTTTGACTGGCTCCTTTGGTGCTGGCTGGCTGGCCCTGCTGTCTGCCTGTCTGGCTGCTGTGTCTGGACTTTTCCTTTGAAGTGCCACCTTCTGGTATGTATAGAGAATATGTATCTCTCTCTCTCTCTCTCTCTCTCTCTCACTCTGTCTGTGTGGGGGATGCGCCTGAGGAGTTCAGTATCACGCCAGCCAACTTTTGCTGCCAAGTGTCCATGGCATTTGTTTGCAGCTGTTTCCCTTTCTTCTACACTTTCCTCTTGTTGGTGTTTGTTCAATTGTGGGGGTTTTTAGTTTTCTAGATTTTAAACGTCTTTGCATGTTATAGCTACCACATGCTCCAGACCGCCGCCGATCACTCGACAACCAGAGAGACATCGATCGAAATCAAGTGGGCATGCCTGTGAATCAGCAGCAAGCAAAATGCCATTAGGTGGGCAAATGTAAAATGGCGAGAAAAGAAAGCGCTTTGGGGCGCTTGTTTGTTTGTGGCCCTTGTTTTTGTGGGCTCCAAGGCCGTCTTCAACCCCTTTGTAAACCGTTCAAAACAGTATTTAAACGCTCACGAGGAAGCGTCACAGCGTGGAAAGCAGAACTCAAGAGAAGAACAAAAAAAAAGAAGCACGCACACCAACATGCAACGGAAACTCATGCGATGGGGACCATTACAAAAACTACAGAGGAATCTTTTGATTTCTATCGCATGCTTTTAAGTAGCACGCACAGGCATATACTCCACAAAACGACCGCATATGCCTCGAGACCTTGGTGTGGGGTCTCAATGTTGGTGACAAATTGACCCCAGAGCTTTTAAGATCCCTCGATGATTTAGTTGGCACTCTTGCTAAACTTGTTAGCTCTGCTCATGTGCTGATTATTGGAGCGAGAGATGTGTGTTGCTCAACCTCTTGCATTGAATTGGAAGCACATGGATTTGCCCCTCGAGAGGGACACTTCCATTTGATTTGACAAAAAGGTCCTGGCTATAACGACGGAATAAGTATGACGCACCTTTTCTCCGCAGGATATCGCTTTCAGTGATCTGATCCATCCGCCCATGAGAGAAGAGAGAGCGAGTGAATGAGTGAGGAAGAGAGAAGCTCGCAACACCCACACCAAAACTCTCTGCAGGAGGAAAACAAAAAGAAAAATGGAAGCTTTCTCAGTCCTTGCTGTTGCAGGAGAGAAAAAGGGAAGAGATCAAAGTCACTCACCAGACAAAAATAAATGGATGAGCTGCTGTGCTGCTGCAATTCAATCCGAGGCTGGCGGGGGAGGGAGCTTGAACTCTGGAGTGATTGTTTTCCCTGTGGCGGCCGCGGTGAGGAGCTTCCTCTTCTTCATGCTCAGCGACTTGAGCTTGTGCTCCCCGCGTCGGAGGTAGTAGAGCTTAGCTCTTCTCACCTTCTTTATGTCCAGAATCTCAAACTCTTTTATAAGTGGGGAATAGCTGCGCAGCGAAAGAGAGAGGAATGTCAAGAGAGGACATCGGCAAAAGTTAAAAACTTACAGTGGCAAAACATTCTCCACGAAAGTGTTTCCGATTTGCCGTCTGAGCCTGAAAGTGGTGTGTATGCCATTGTTTCGCATGGCAATAATAATTCCTTTGTACTCTTGGATTCTTCGCTTGTTCTGCGGCTCTTCCTAGAATCATAAATGTTGAGAATCAAGAGATTTACATAGAGTAGAGTACGTACCACTTTAACGCGGATAACGTAGCCCGGCTTGAGCGCGGGGATCTCTCTCTCTTGTTTAGCTTGAGCAACAGCTTCCTTGTTTAGAATCTGCAAAGGAAACAACACAAAACTCGCAAAGACTCGCGAGGAAAGTAAAAAACAAGAGAAACATACCTCCATGATAAAAGCCGCAGTTTTACCGAGCTTCTTGGTCTTGACATGCGGAGCTGGATCTATCGAAATCGTGGTAACATCGGGCTTAGCTTCCTGGTCACCAGAAGCAGCATTTTCAGCCTCCTTGGCAGCAGCTCTCTTGAACAGCCTCTCCACGGCCATTCTAGCTTTGTATCTCCTGGAAACCGTCGTGAAATACTCCCGCTTCTTGCCTTGCTCCTCACCGCCATCGCCAGGCCCAGCGTCTGGCGCCTCATCGTCTCGCAGCACCCGATCACAGTGGAAGCTCCTCCCGGCGCATTGGCGCCACGAGCCCTAGAGTCTCAAGCCACATTCACCGCAATGCATCTCAGACCGGCTTCCATACCTGGTGGAGAACCGCCGTGAGCTGCCCGTAGCGTCGGAGCAGCGCCATAAACCCTAAATCCCCATCCCCGGGAAGCTATTTCTTAACATAAACTGGCGCACTAATACCTCTAGACCGGCCAGTATTTAATAACAAGGTCCTATAGTGTAGTGGTCATCACGTTTGCTTTACACGCAAAAGGTCGCGAGTTCGAAACTCGCTGGGACCAAATGTGTTTTCCTCTCTTTTTAGGGTTAGTCAACATTTTGTCTTTATTGACCTTTTATTGACCCGATGACTACGTCTTGACTAGGACTGAATCTTACTTTTTCCACCTAGAGAAGCTGTGGAGCCCCTTGCGAGAGCGCTGCGTTCGCAATCAGCTTGTTCATTGCATCCGTAGGGTGGAAACTGTCCCAGAAAACGTACTTGGACGCATCAGTGCACGTCCCCGGCGAATGCATGTTACACAAAATTGAGACTTCCAACCTTCCTGTTCCGCAGCAGCCCGTCAGCGTCTGCTGGAATCCTACACAAAGAACAAAACAAACCAACGTTGTCAACGCGTGGTCTCGATCGGGGAGTTTGTTTCTCCACGTACCGTATTTCCCTGGATTGGCGAGAACGTTCGTGAAGAGCGTGTAGATGTCGACGTATGCGAGCCTGAGACCCGGGAAGCCGTCCTTGATCGAGTTCACGGTGGACTGGAGGGCCGCATTGAAGAGCACGGCGTCTTGGTTGTGATCTTCCACGCACTGTAGCTCCCCGTGGTTAAAGAGGGTCACTTGCGAGGGAACGCAGCCCAGCGGAGCTAGGCTGACCACGGCAATTCGTCGAGCTCCCAGCCCATACAAATCCTAAAGAGAATCACCCAAAACAGAGCTTTGGATGAGAGTGTGTTCCAAACAATCCAGAGAGGTGGAGTTTGCTCGTTACCTTGACGAAGTTTGCAAAGGACTCAATGAGCATGGCGCGGTACGTATCCGGGTCGAACATCTTTTGCGTGAGGGGATTCAAGTAGTAATTGTTGATGTAGTCGTTGCTTCCGGTGCTGATCGCGACGAGCGCCTTGGAGACGATGTCGCTCGCATTGGCTTGCCCAACCATGCCGATGAGCTTCGACTTGTATTTGCTGAACCACTCGATTTGGCCACTGAGGCCAGGCACATTCTGCGTTAAACGATTGACACAATGTTTCCGCGAGTGACTTCACAGAGATTTTGGGAAAGGAGGCATGAGAAGAACCATGGGGGATCAAAGAAGTAAAGAAGTTCATGGGACTTACGAAGGGAACGGCGGTTTTCTCGTAGAATCCGGATCCAGAAGTGGCGAAGTTGACGCCCCTGACAATGCTGCTGCCCTGCGCTTGGGGATCCAAGTAAGCCGGAGCGTATGGCAGTCCTACAAGGTTTGCTGCGTGATAGAAAATCCCACATTCAATCATAAAAGCTTAGACAAAGGAAAAGAATAGTTGGAATTCCATGATCCAAAGATCCGGAGCCAAAGAACAAAACGAGAAGAGCAAAGAATACCAACTTGCCTAGATAATCCGTGGAAGTTCTTCCATTGCAAAATCTCCCGGTGGCGACACTGCTATCAAAGTCTCGACCATAAGGTGGGAAATTGGCCCTCACAACAGTGGGGAGAAAATTGTTATTGCCGGCATCCACAGTGGAATCGCCAAAGACGTAGATCGCGGGCGCGAGCTGGGCTCGAGCTTGACACAAGAAATTGAGGAGAAGAGCGATCGCCAAGACAGAGTGGTCTTGCATGATCAAATTCGAGACAAACTTCTTTTCAAGTTCCTTTCCCTCCCTCTCCTGCCATATACGCGCAAGACAGATTGTTTATAGGGCTCTGGACTACGGATTCTTGCGTAGCGCTGTTATCATCAATCAACTCGAGTTTCCTAGCTCTATTTAGATCGCTTTGCTCGCTGGAGCCTGGGTGCTGCTGGTCGCTAGACGAGCGAGCGATTTATTCTCTCCCTTCTCTCCTTCTCGTAAATAGTCAATCAGCAATTTGCATCCGTTACGTCTTGAATGCCTCTGAATTGGATAGGACAGGGCTACCAAATCTATTAAGCTTTGCGCACCAACCCTTTCCCCGTATTATGATAGTAATCTCCATTAAGTGAGTGTTTGTGCGCTCTTTAGGCAGCCGAGATTGCGACAGAACATCCCGAGGGATGAATGCGCCCGCGATTCGTCTCAATGCCAGCCAGTAAAGCAGGCAAAAAGTTGTTGTGCGAGCGAAAGCTTTTAGATTGCGTGGCCAGGGATCACTAACATCCAATTCCTCTTGTTGGATGCCTCCAGTTCCAGGGCCTTAATGCTCAGCAACCCAGGAGCGAGTATGAACACTCGATCTTTGGGTTGTAGTCAATGACGCGACACGAAGTGCGATCCTCATTGTGAAGCTGTCATTTAGGTTATGCTGCCCATTGACCGAAGGCCAAAGGTGACACTCGATAGCCAAGACGCTCGTCTTAAGATTCAAGAGAGAACGGTTTGTGCTCTAGAGAATAAACGAGTGGAGTGAAAATTGCGAGCCAAGACACTTTGACAAGGGTCTTGAGATTCAGTGTGATTTAGAACCAAACGAGACTTTCGCACTGCTCAACGTAGAAACAGGACACGAGTTGTGATCACATCACAACTCAAACAACGCTGTCAGGCCCAAGGCCGCTGCACTGCTAGCTCATGCATTTCTACACCCTCGCAAGTTCAAAATTGGGACACCCAATATAACGATGAAACAACGCTCGATTGAAATCAGTTTGATTCTTAAAAAGAGATTTTCGTGATCACTGTCGCAATGGTCAACGCAAAAAACATCAAGTGTAGTTCAACTTTCTAGACTACAAGGTACTGTTCAACGACGATAAGAAGGTCATGAAAACAACGGTCCAGATTTCAACTCTTAGATCTTTGCGATAAACCAGTGTGTGGAAAAGTCTCAAATGATATTGTTTAAAATCGTTACAGAGCTGTTTCTTCTATCCTCACGAAATCCATCTTGGTCGCCACAACACTCAGGGCATTCACTGCATTTCTTCGTGATGCAAACCTCGGTTTTCGTCCCACCAGAAAAAAAAAAAAAAAAAACACAAAACACAAAACAAAACAAAAAGAGTTAAGAGACAACTAAAGAAAACGAAAACCTGGTAAGAGTTTCTCGTCCTCGTTCTCGCGAACAGCACAAACATTGTCCGTTGATGGGGTTGAGACACAAGGAAAACGAGTTAGGGAAAACCGAAGAGAATTCTAACCTGGTAAGAAGGAGCTTCCCGTTCTCTCCTTCCTGTCGACTTTGTGTCTTGGATCGTTGCTTTCATGTGATCACAGCGTTGTCCAGTGATCACCGTGCTTCCTACCTGGCTTCAGAGTTTTAGTCTTGGATCGTTGGTCGACAAACATTTCTGTCCTGTACTCATTCTCGTCTTCCTATCGAGTTTCAGTGTCTTGGACCGTTTTTTTCATGACGCGTGCATCCTTCTTATCATCGTTGAAAGTAACTTGTAGTCTGATTTGTTTTGCGTTGTCCAGTGACCATTGCGACTGTTCAGTGATCGCAACTCGTATAATTCTTGTTTACGTTGAGCACTGTGCGAAAATCTCTTTTTAAGACTGTTTAAATCAAACTATCTCAAGGTCTGAAAACCGAGCGTTGTTTCATCGTTATATTGGTTCCCCAATTTTGAACTTGCGAGGGTGAAGAGATGTGTGAGCGAGCAGTGCAGTGGCCTCGGGCCTGACAGTGTTGTTATACATTGAGCAGTGCGAAAATCTCGTTTAGTTCTAAATCTCACTGAATCTTAAGACCCTTGTCAAAGCGAGCGTTGTTACATCCTTGTCTTGGCACGCAATTTTCACTCCACTCGTTTATTCCCTAGAGCACATACTGTTCTCTCTCGAATCTTAAGACGAGTGTTGTCATCGTTGTCTCGGCTATCGAGTGTCTAGCTTTAACCAACGTACCTTGAGGCGATGCGAGTGCAGCGGCTTCGGGCCTTCCCGGCCAGAGCTCCGCAGTGCGACCCCAACCTCAGAAATGATGAGCCCTAAATGACAGATTCTGTTATGCCGTATTTCCAGCGAATATTCTTAATACAAAATATGTTACCATTATAGGTATATTTTATTATATGATACTTAGTAATGTAGCCACTATAAATTATTATCACTTTGCTGAAGCAATAAGACATTTTAATGACTATAATTTATGAATTTCAATCCATAAAAAATCCTTATATATAGAACTACTCTTCTTTCTTCTTCATTATGGTTTCTCTTTTGCTTGATATTAATGAGCTTCAATAGAAATGCCAACTTCTCCTTATAGTGCATGTCAAAATGCTTTAAATGACTTGCCATAAATTCAGTTGTAGCTTTTGTATGGTGGGGCATATCATTAAAAGTTTTTTTTTAAATAATAAATGCATGCATTATGTTGTTTGATTATTTGATAATTTGTTATGTTGAATGATTATCTATTTTCTTGGTCCCAATATGTATATAATACCTATGCTATTGTCATTTATATTGTGGAAATTGATCACTAATACTTTTAGTTTCTCATGAAAAATCTTAAAGATAGTTAGATTTACATTCACTATTTCTATAACAAGGATTATTTGAAAATCCAGATCCACAGGGCTATGTATCATATGTTTTTCCACCAACTTGTATAACTTTGAATCTTCATTGGGATTAGGTATTTCTACACATAAAATATTATCAATATAATTAATATGTTTTACTTTGTATTATTTATTAAGTATTACTAAAATGTGGTAAACCTCTCTTTAGAAATTTAATGACATAAACATTTGCCAAAAAATTTATTATCATAAATATCTTTATTAACTTTTTTTTTCTTTAAATACTCTAAATCTAGTCTATCAAAAACATGTTAAATTTCCACACTAAACTCATTGCATCTTAATAATTTTGATATCAACCATTGAAAGATGAACATTAATTCAACCTCCACGAGCTCACCTAGCTCCAATGCATCTTTGTAGCAGCATCCAATACCAAAGGGCTAATATAGTCATGCAATGCCTTTGGTTGTTTTCTAGATTGTAATACACATAGTTTTCACTTTTTTTTTAAAGTAATTTACTATAAGATATCCAGGAACTTTAACTTTTAAACAACCAAAGGTAACAAAGTGGAATTCAAATTTCAAAACCTTAGGCCACTAAACAAAAAGACATAGTCAAACTCTTGAGCATACAACTAATAAACAAAAGAACTAAAGCACAGAACAACTTTTAAATGCACAACCCAAAGAATAAAAAAGTAGAAGTATTGAGTAACATTGGAACAATTGTAAAACATTTAACATCCCAATGCCAAAACTAACATGCAAAACAAAGCTTTAGCAAAGAAGGCCTAAAGCTGCTACACTTTTATATCTCCTTAAAATATGTTGGTTAAAGTTAGACACTTGACAATATTCATCTTAAGATTCAAGAGAGAACAGTTTGTGCTCTAGAGATAAACTTGAAATTGCAAGCCAAGACAAAGATGTAACAACCCTCACTTTGACAAGGTCTTAAGATTCAGTGTGATTTAGAACTAAACAAGATTTTCACACTGCTCAACAGAGAAAAGGACACGAGTTGTGATCACATAACAACACTGTCAAGCCCAAGGCTGCTGCAGTGCTCGCTCACACATCTCTTCACCCTCACAATATAACGATGAAACAATGCTTGGTTTTCAAACCATGAGATAGTTTGATTTAAACAGTCTTAAAAAGAGATTTTCGCACCGTGCTCTACGTAAACAAGAATTATACGAGTTGCGATCACTGAACAGTCGCAATGGTCACTGGACAACGCAAAACAAATCAAGTGTAGTTCAACTTTCTAGACTACAAGTTACTTTCAACGATGATAAGAAGGATGCACGCGTCATGAAAACAACGGTCCAAGACACTAAAACTCGATAGGAAGACGAGAATGAGTACAGGACAGAAATATTTGTCGACCAACGATTCAAGACTAAAACGCGACAGGAGGGTGAAGCCAGGTAGGAAGCACGGTGATCACTGGACAACGCTGTGATCACATGAAAACAACGATGCAAGACACAAAGCCGACAGGAAGGAGAGAACGGGAAGCTCCATCTTACCAGGTTAGAATTCTCTTCGGTTTTGCCTAACTCGTTTTCCTTGTGTCTCAACCCCATCAACGGGCAGTGTTTGTGCTGTTCGTGAGAACGAGGACGAGAAACTCTTACCAGGTTTTCGTTTTCTTCAGTTGTCTCTTAACTCTTTTTGTTTTGTTTTGTGTTTTGTGTTTTTTTTTCTTTTTTTTGAGTGTTGTGGCGACCAAGATGGATTTCGTGAGGATAGAAGAGACAGCTCTGTAATGATTTTAAACAATATCATTTGAGATTTTTCCACACACTGGTTAATTGCAAAGATCTAAGAGTTGAAATCGGACCAAAGTTGTAGGAGTTTATGCCCGCTGGCTCACCTAGGAGAGATGCTGTAGCTGCGCTTGGAAGAAATTCCGGAGGTTTGTAATCGCCGTCTCGCAGGCTCGAGACTTTTGGACCTAATGTGGGGAGCATTCGAGCGCTGTGTGCATTGCCACATTCGGCTATCAGGCAAGTAAGTAGCCCAATTTCTAGCTTGGAACACGAAACGTTGGATGGATTTTTTCCTTCTTCGTTTCTAGCTTTATGCTAGAGAGGCAAGGATTTGTTAGATGTTTAATCTTGTGTGTGCGTTTTGGAGACCAGAAGAATACTTTCAGTAGAAGGATAATAGTTTGGGCCTAGTCTGGAATTCCTGGCGCTTGTAGATAAGGAGGCAAATTGCTAGCTTAGAATGCTCGCTGGATTTTTCCAAGGATCCTGCAGATCGATTTTTGTTTTTCTTCCAGTTCTCTAAGATGAATTTTTCTTCCTTTCCAGGAATTTTCTATCCAGTTGATGAAACTGGTCTAAAGAAAAAG